TATTACATTACATTTAATGTTTATTTAAATCATCAACATATATTACATTACATTTCTACTTCAGATATACTAATAATACATTCTAATAATACTAATATATCCTAAAAATAGCAGATTGTCATTGGCAACGGCAAAAGAGTGGAAACATCATTCGCACTTGTTCGAAGAAAGTCCATTGTTCGTCTCACGTAACTGCCGAACGGAAAGTCTGTTGTTCGCAGCAAGTCCGTTGCTCAAGTCACGTAACGGTCAAACAGAAAGTCCGTTATTCGCAGCGTCCGTTATTCGAGGCGTACGTTATACGAGGCACCACTGTATTAATGTTTAATCTCAGTTTCCTTTAACAGAAAAAAATTAAGAACAAGAATTATGTATGATATTTCTATTGAAAGTCAAATAATTTCAAAATATATATTCCAAACGGATTAAAATTGTTTAATAATAATTATTAAACAATTATATATTATTTCATATATAATTTAAAAAGAGACTGATATAATTTACAATAAACAAGTCCGAAGATAGCTAGATAGAATTTTTGAATATACAGGGCGATTCATCTAAGCGCGTACAAACTTCTGGGATAGGTAGGCTACATAAAGACAAATTAGAATCATATAACAATGTTGGATCAAAAACACCATCTCCATGTGCTAGTGCATAGAAAGGATGAGAAATGAAAGAGCAGCACATAAAAGAATGAAATTCTTTCTTAAATATATAAATATAAAATTGCAACGTTTAACAGTACTTTGTTTCCGTTTGTTCATCTGTCGTTCGCTCCAGTTGACAGTCCTCAATTTTACAAACACGGAGGCGACCTTTCTTTAGAGGCTACTACCTCCGTAATAAAATGCAAATATGGTAAAAAATGTCCTCTGGACCGTCGGCCATGTTTATATTTATTAATTTTCTTTAAAATGTATTTTATGTGAAAATGGCGATAGCACCAGAGGACATTTTTTACCATATTTGCATTTTATTATGGAGGTAGTAGCCTCTAAAGAAAGGTCGCCTCCGTGTTTGTAAAATTGTGGACTGTCAACTGGAGCGAACGACAGATGAACAAACGAAAACAAAGTATTGTTAAACGTTGCAATTTTATATTTGTATATTTAATTAATTGTAATACCGTTGGCCATGTTTATATTTATTAATTTTCTTTGAAATTCTTTCTATTACTCAGGAGATTTTTGTGAAATGCATTGAGGTTACAGAAGGTGTTCAAAGTTGTGACCATGAATGTAACATACTTGATGTTGTCAGCACATGGAATCACATACATTTTGTAAAATTTCTGGTGTGTCTCAGACTTCCAAAGCAGCTACAGAGATGCATGCTAGAAGATCCTCATCACTTTCAATGTGGGGGTGTTGTACACCAGTCCTTTAATGTAATCCCATAAGAAGTAATCAGAATATGTTAAGTCTGGCAATCCTGCAGGACAATGAAGAAAGCCACCACGCCTGATTCGTTGATATCCAAATGTCATGTTTAAGTGATGACAAACATTTGTTACAGTCCACTGCTCCATAAACGAGGTGCATATTAGCCATCTCTACATTCACAAACTCAGCCATTGTACTAGCTCTACGGACAGTTTACAAATGACAGTATCCTGAAAGAATGTATGAGCAGTCTTGCAGCTGAACAACACCTATCACATAAAGATGGCATTTCTTGCTAAATGATTCTGATTTGTCTTTGTGCAACCTACTCCCCCCAAAAGCTATAAGTTTAGCTGAATCATCCAGAATATTGCAATGGACTGACAAAACTTCAAAACTGTTTGAATGGAGTAAATGCTTAAGAAGATTTCTGTTTGAATCTCCTTGCTGTTTTTCTGCTGTTTAACTTTTGTTGAATAAATTAATTAACATTAAAATAAACAAGTTATCTTGATTCAATAAAATTTTTTTTGCGTTGCTAAGAATATAGTTAATTATTCTGTCTTAATATTAATTATAAGCTATTAATAAGCTTATTTTTTTGTAAAAAATTATTGAAGTTGTAACTGAAGTTGCTATTCCTTCATCTCTTGTTGCAATAGTCAATAGAATAATAATTAATATTAAATAAGTAAAATAAAAACTAATATTTTGAAATATTGATATTGTAGACTGTCAGTTGACCAAGATAGATAAAAGGCATCAGCCTACCAACCTGACAGTTGAATATGGACGATCAAAAAGCTCTGGGAATTTTTTGTGGGTGATCTGTCACAGATATGTCAGGTCCTGTTTCACACCACCAAGCCATTTTCATTGTGGACTTGGCTGAACCCGCCATGAGTATGGATAGGATGGCTCTCTTAGAGCCCATAGAGCAGAAAGAGTTAAATCTATATGCAGGATTTTGTGAATAAAGTGAACCAGTCCCAAAATGACTAAAGATAGAAGGATCAGACTAATCATGACCAAACAAGCTATAACTATACATATCCAAAAGTAGTAAATGTACATATCAGAGACTTTGGATTATGGGGTCTTATGAAGAGTTTCTTTCAAGTCTAGTGGTAAATGGAGTAAAAATTGATGTCAGTGGAAAGTGTATGAAAATATAAATGTTTATTCTGGGATAATTTTTGATATGTTCTGTTGTCAGGTAAAGTAAACATAGTCATGTGTCAGGAAAAACAGGCAGGCAAATATGTAAATAGGCACAATTGCTGTTAGAGTGCATATTTACAGTTCTATGCTGAGGAGTGATCACTCCCCAGGAATTATGTTGTGTCCAACAGACATTTGAAACTGCATTACAACATGTCTTTAGGAAGGTAAACAGTAATTTTAACTTTGATAGATGTTCAAAGTACCATTCACCTTACAGTATATAATTGTACTTGTTATTTGCAAATATTTAATAGAGCTGTTTTCAATTACAGTGGAATCTCGCTTAATGAGCATAATTCATTTCAGAATCTTACTCGTAATGTGAAACACTCATTAAGCGAAACAATTTTTCTGTATAAATTAATGTAAAATACGATAATGCGTTCCATGCTGAAAAAAATACTCAAATATTTAATGTATAACATTTATTCAAAGAAAATTATACAATATACATTGTTAAGGAGGGTAAATCATCATCTTTTCTTCTAGCGTGGAATGAATCAACCTGGAATGTGAATTTGATTTGCAGAAAACAAACAAAATTGAAATTTAATTTGGAATTGGTCATTAAATTCAATATGAGATGTCAGCATAACTGCCTACCTCTAGTCAAATTATTTAATTTATAATATTTAGTTTCGTAAGCACGATAAAGTGCAGTTAAATGAACACTAGGCATCTTTTCATCCATTTATTTGCTCTTTTTAGTTGATATGCATTTTTACATGTTTTGGGTCTTGCAACACCCCTCTTCAGTCAACTAAGTTTAACCTCACTCTATCATGCTTACAAAACAAAAATGTAGAATGACATGATTTCAAACCAGTACAAATTTTAATATTTAATTATAGCCTTTACATAGCCCAAGAATTTGGCATATTGTTTTGCGTGTTTATTATATAACGGGCTATGGTGGCTGATGTTTATATGTAATATGTGTGAACACAAGTTTGGAAAAATGTGTAATCACAAGTGACACTAAGATGCTCACAGAATGAGTGCTAACCACAAACTGATGGAGCTTGTGCACAATCCAGGACTTCCCCTGTTCTCATCACTCATTAAGCGAGTCATTTTTTTACAATTTGTTTTGCTCGTTAAGCGAGGTTCCACTATTTTTTTGCTTGTGTTTTTTATAGTATTGTTGCAAATTGGGCAGAACTGATTGTCCTTGTTGTTGTGGATTCAAATGTTAATAATGCAAGGCCCTGCATGCACAAGCATATACTTAGTACTATCATCTGCCATGATGGTTGACTGCATAATGGTCAATATATGCGTGTGTTTTGGTCACTATGGTCAGATTTAACAGCACAGAGCTGTAAACACAAGTGCCAACAACAGTTGTGCCTGTTTATACATTTGCTTGCCTGTCTTTCCTGAGTTGCATGTTTAAGTTTATTTGACTAGATAATGGCATGAGTTATCAAAAATTACCCCAGAGTAAATATTATTTAGATTTTCATGTAATCTCCAATGGCATCATTTTTGACACAACATACCATTGTACTTTGACAAGAAATCTCCCATAGGACTTGATAATCTGGGGATCTCTGGCACATACATACATTCACCAACTTCTGGATATGTTGTATCTTGTTTGGCCATAATTAATCTTCCTGCCTTTAATTAATCATTTTCAAGTTTAACTTGCTCACTTTATTTGTAATATATATATAAGATGTTACAAATAAATAAATATATATCTATTACTTTGTACTATATGTGAACAAATAGTTTACTTTATTTCAGGTAATTTAAATAAAATTTTAAGTATAATATACTTGTATGTTGCCACAAAATTTATTATAAATTCATATAAGTTAATATTCAGGTGTTTTCTATATTTAAAAACCATTAAGAGAATTATAGTTTTCATTATTGAATTATTATTTTTTTATTTTAGATAATAGTAGAATGAGAAGAATTAGTATGGAAAATATGGATTTATTGAAATTAACTCCTGATGCTAAGGTAGAAAATTATTTTAGTCTAAAATTTACAGTATTAATTTGATATAAATCATCATTATAATTATAAATTCTTTGTCATTCAGAGATTTTTACCAGTTAATAAAATTTAACTTAAGAGTGAAAAAGTTTTTATTATATATTTTCTCATAATTAGTGTTTAATATCTATTTGTAAATCAAAACTTTGCTTAAAATATTTAGTACTTAAAATTTTATTTTTGGAAAAGTAAGAATTTCAATTTCTTGGAAAATGTTAAGAATTTACATAGATATTTTTTATGTTATAATTGAATATATTAAATTCTTTAAATAAGCAATTTCAAGTAGTAAAATGTGTATATTCCAATTTTTAGTTAATTGATATATATTACATAACAATAACCTTGGAACAGCAGCAGCAAAATTTACTAACTACATTTTGGACACCTTTAACATTCTTAAATGTTAAATTTTTTTGTGTTCCAAGGTTATTGTTGCATGAATTTATTTATATTTGCAAAACAGCTCTAATTTAGTTGCATAATATTGTTATATATTATTACTGTATGCTTTTACTTTCATAAATTATGAATGAAATGATTTCAGTATTTGTTTTATGAAAGTAACAGTGTAGCAATTTTTATAAGGTAGATGAAGATATCTTGCTGTTATTGTATATAGTTTAATAATAATGTGAGGGCCCGGATTTAAGATTCGAATATTTTTATTCATTAGATTAAAAGTTAGGGTTAACTCAAAAAGGAAAAAACAACCGACAAATTTTCTCATAAAAATCGCTCATAAAAACTCCTTTCCCACCACAATACTTCCCTGTAGAAGATGAGTTAACTGTTGTGTCATATTTAGTCACTTCACCCATCATTGGTCAAAGAAGATCATCACCTGTGACGTACATGGGGAAATCTCGAAAAAAGAGCCCCCATATAAAAGGCAAGTGCGATGACGACACACGGGGGGAAATAAGTTCTTTTCTCTATACTGTGAGTGTGTGCCCGTGGATTTACCTGCATCTCGTCTCCACCGTCTTTAATAGACTTTGAACTTCGACTTCGAACTTTGGACTGATTTGAACTTTGAACTTGGAAGGACGAACCTCGGATCAACGTTATAACAACCTAATCAGAGGTATTTATCCTACACGCGATGATGTGTAAGCTCTCTCTCGAATATTCGAACCTCGCGGGTAGGGTCGCGACTATTTTATACTTTGCCGTTACTTTATGAACTATACGGATTGAACCCGAGAGGGATTTGTATTCCAATTATTAACTATGTATAAATGTACGGAATAAACGGGTAT